AGGTGACTAATAAATTGCAAATTTGTCAATATTTATATAGTTCACGGTAATCAAATGAATTTCATTTATTTTACGATTAGTTCTCTCTCTACTTTTTTATAATCCGCTACATAATTTATAAACTATGGCGTTTGAATCGAAGTCCAAATGATCAAGTCCATGCATAATGTTTGCACACGGTAAATAATTTGAATCCGAACTTTACGAGTTTACGTTTTGGTCCTAAAGCCAAAAGGTTCGATACCTAATACTTCTACCCCTCTACTACGTGGATCAACTAGTTCTATGCAAGTACTTGAATATATTGTTAGGCATACATATGCTTGATTTTTCATAACTGTTTTAAAGGTTAATTATACAAATGTTGAATCGTGACTCTTCAAATTGATAATTTTTTAATTTGTCGTAAATAACAAAAATATAATTTCCGTGATGTTTGGTAAGCTTTTCCAGGACGTTCCTAAGATTTGATATACTAAAGGGATCTATAGAAAACATAATAATAATGAAATGCGTAATGCGTGTATGTAACACATGGCATGAAAACAAGGAAGAATGTGTAAAAGGGCAAGAACGCCTACTTCGAGCAACAACCTACTCAATCTTAATATTATTTATAGAGATCTCACTAGAAAACTAAACAAAATTGTAGAAAGGAACAACTGTTTTTCTTTTGAGAAACGAAAGGAACAAATTAAATGTTATCATGTAAAAAATGTTTTATTCAAACGAAAGAATGTTTAAGCACTTATACGTAAAGCTTACAACTTCTAGTGGTTAACTAACATACAAATTATGAGCTTTTGAATTAAGTGACTGTTATTTGAAAACATGCGACAGAAATTTGAGATTATATATGTAGCAGATAGCTTAATTCTATCTTCAGATGACAAAGTTGTAGTTAAATTAGTTTAAACTATATATTCATCGTTGTTTATTTTAAAAAAACCCTGAAAAATAAAATAATTTATTTAATTTAAGTAAATAGATGGCCATTACATTATTAGAAGATTTTAATTATCTAATTATAGCTAATGACAAATGGTCTATTTGCACCATGTTAAAACGTTTCGATAAATTTATTTCTATTGATCTAAAAACCTCACATTTTCTAAGACTTAAACTCCATAGTCGTAACTATTTGTTCAACTAAGAAACCAAAGGGCTTCGACATATTTTAACTATGATTCATAAAGCAAGATATCATTTCAAATCTTTTTCACCACAAAATTATAATTTATTCATAAAAATCACTGACAAATCTTTTATGCGTGAGAAAAGCAAAATAGACCTCTTTCGTTGCTTCATAATATAAACTCTAGATATCAAGAGTAAGACATAAGGAACTCAATATTCTCTCTTTTCTAAGAAAAAACAAACTTACTTGCTTCATATGATATCATATCAAGTTCAACTCCATATGGTCCATATATTTAATTCTGAATTTCTGATTCAATTTATTTCAAATCGATTATTAATTTAAACACTTATGGAACTGGTAGACTTTAAATATTGAAAACTTTCTTTTGATTAGCTGCGAAAGATTTGCTTACATTACACACTAGTCATTTGATTGTACTCAAAACCCAACGTGGCAATACTTTATTCAGACAAAAAAAAAATCATTTAGTTATTTATCGGCAGAATAAGACACCCAGCCGATGAAAGTCCAAACTCCAAACAATCATCTCCAATGATTAGAAAATTCAATAGTATTATCAAAATAGTAGTAATAGTTTTTTTTTCTTTCTTAATTTGTTGATACACATATATAATACATTTATTTGAGGGTATTTAACTG